AAAAAAAATATGCAATTATAAAATAAATTAAAAATAAAGGGTGGTATAATATAGATAAAAAAAAAAAAATGTATATGGCAAAAAAAAGAAATTTAAAATGATGAAATAAAAATAAAAAAAAATAGAATAAATTTTTATAAACGTATATAAACAAAACTTTTGTCAATAATTAAAAATAAAATATATGTTAAAATGAAAAGAGTTGTGTAAAAAAAAAAAAAAAAAAAAAAAAAAAAAATTATGATTTTAAAAAATTGAAATACAAATACAAAAGAAAAAATATATATATATATATATGATTGTAAATATATTTATTCACATTCATTATTATTAATCTAAAAATTATTAGAAGCTGACATTTTTGATGAATGCCATTTTATTTTCTTTATAATTTAAAATAACATTTTCTGAACAACACAAACATCTATCAAAGGCATCACTAAATAATTTTTTTATGGAGAAATTCGATAAATTAAATGTAAGGATATGAGGTGTAGCTCCTAAACAAGAAGATAATGAATTTGAAAGTTCATTTTTTTTGGTTTCTTTTTTAATCTCATAATTATTATCATTACTATAAATATATTGATCTCTATCAATGTGTGGTGCAAAAAAATATAAAGGATGTTGAGTTAGTGATACTAATAATTCTACAGCTATACTACTACTTATATTACTTATACCACTTCTAGTAACTGTACATTTTTCATCTAATGTTCTATTTGTTAAAGAGTCAGAAGGGGAATGCATATCATTACAAAAATAACAAGCAGCTCTAAAATATAAAAAGGAATGTCTTAAAACAAGAAAAGAGTCAAACCCAATTGCTACTGTTATACCTAATGGTGGTAATTTGGGTAATTTTTCTACATTAGCAATAATATTATTATAAAATAAATATCTATTAAAATCATTTTCTTCTAATAAATTTTTTTCATTTATATTCATATATTCATAGGTAAAATCATCTGTATATAGCATATCACTATTATTTTTATATAATGCATTTTTTTTTGTTCCTTCCCTTAAACTTTTTTTTATTTCATTTAAGCAATTATATTGTTTTTCTGCTATTAACAAGCAAGGAAAATATCTGGATTCTTTTGAATCTGTTAATAAAAAAATTACATCGTGATTATCAATCAATTCATCTAATTCATTCATAGTATTTTCAATATCTTCTTTTAAATAGTTTAAATGACCAGGCATAGGTATATCCATTATTTTTGCAGTAATATTTAAATCAGGTGTAATTTTTAATAAATTATTTTTAGCGGCAATCGATTTATACTCACCAATATTATTATAACGTTCTGCATCTTCAATTGTATATAAATATTGTCTACTAACATTAGAAAAAGAAACTCGAGAATTATCAACAAATGTGAAATTTTGTATTCCCCATGAGACACAATTTCTAGCAACCATACAACCTAATGTCCCTAATCCTATAATCATTACTTTTAATTTTTTAATCTTTTCAAATTTTAAATCTTTTAAAATTTTCCATTTAATTAATTTTATATTTAATTCTACAGAAATTCTATGAATTACGTTTTTATTTAAAAAATCATTCAAATTTATAATATTTATAATGCTTTGTTTTTTTAAACCATTTTTTTTTTTTTCATATTTCTTCCATCCTGATATTATTTCATATTTTAAATTACTATGAATCTGAATACATATACATTTATTTTTTTTTATTTTATTATCTTTACTGTTTGTTCTTTTTTCACTATTATCACTTAAATATGAATTTTTCCGGTTAATTAAATTATCTTTCAAGTTATTATCTTTATCATCTAAATTGTGAAGAAAAGAAGGATTCTTTAAAGAATATCTTTTTTCACATTGGTCGAACAAGCTATATTTATCATTTCCTGAATCAAAATCATTTTTTCTGTTACAATATTTATTTGAAAAAGATGAAATATAATTGGAACTTAAAATATTTTTATTTTTATTCATTTCTTCATTATTCTCTTTTTGAGAATCATATAAATATAATTTTTTGTTATCCATTAAATTATTTATTGGTTCATTAATTTTTTCATTATATGAACTTTCTTTGTGTTCATGGATGGTATCTGTTTCTCTATTTATTTTAAAATGAAAATTTTCAGAAATTTTAACTTTAAATATAGAAGAATTTAAAATGTATTTAATCATAGTATTATTATTATTTGAATTTTCTTTTTCCATATCCCTGTTATTTTTATTATTAGTAGTATATGGTTTATCATTTTCTTCTTCGTTAACACAGGTGTAATTGCTAATATTTGTGTCTATAACTTCCTTATTTTTATTCTTTCCATTCTCATATGATATATTATCCTTTTCTACTTTTATATATTCATTTATTTTGTGTATATTATCTTTTATAACATCGTAATCTACTTTATAAATGTTAGAAACATAAGAAAAAGAAGTATCGCTGTTATTCATAATATCGTTTTTAGTATTACAAATGGGATATTTCCATACCAATTTGTTATTACTATTTAATGTACAAACAAATTGATCAGTTAATAAAGAAATATCTCTAAATGCAAATATATCAATTTCAAAATCGTATAATTCATATTTTACACAAAAACAATATAAAAAATTTCTAAAATCCCAGCTTAGTGTATTATGTATACAATTAATATCTATGAAACAAAGATACAAGTCAAACATGTTTTTTTTAATATTCTTTAATTTTTTGTCTTTTGAATTTTTTATATCCTGTTTTAATTCATTTAAGCAATTTAAAGGTAAAACTAAAATATCATAATTTTTATGTAAAATATTATTGTTGCTATTGTCAACATTTCTTTTTAAATACTCAAATAGTTCTTTAAAGGTATTTATTTTATAAATTATTTCTTCTTCTTCATCAATTTGAAAATTATTAAATATATTATCTAAATATTTTTCATAGTATTCCTTAATGTTCAAATTTTGAAGAGGTTTGTTATCAAACTTTAGTAGTATAAATGCATTGGATTCTATAAACATTTTATAATTATTAAAATAGTTATCAATTTTATACGATAAGTAAAATAAATCTATGACATTAATTTTTCTTCTATCATTATTTAAATATACTCTTTCTGAATCTATATAGAAAAATATTCTTTCATAATTTATTAGGTGATAATCAACCTTTGGTTTTATTACTGGATTTGCTATACTGTAATAACATATGCACTTTTTCAGATCTAGATAACTTAATATTATATATTTATTAATTTTTTCTAAAAAATTTAATTCATTTTCTTTATATTCCCAAAAAGAGTCTTCATAAATATTCTCTTTTTTGTTTTTTTCATTACCTAGATTAATACAACTTGATTCATTTAAATAAGACTTTAAATCATTTAAAGAATAATTAACGTGATTATTTCTTTGAGTATTAAAAAATTCTTCTAACGTGTTGAAGTTTAATAAAATTCCCATGTAATTTTTTGTGTATCTATTGATATTCTTCTTTTTATTTTTATATTCCTCATTATAACATACATTTTTAGTGTAATATGTATCATTATTATTTTCTTCATTTGGTATTTTATTATTTTTTTTATCTTGTTGTAAGTCTTCCTCTTTTATATCCTTTTTATTTTCAATAAATGATTTTTTATTGATTTCAATAGTACTAACATTAACATAGGGATATTCAAAATTAATAATATTATAATTAATATCTTTTTTATAATTATGTCCTATTTTTATTTTATTAACATAAGTTTTTGAGCACAGATTAACATAATCACTCTTTAATTTATAAACATTTATTTTATATTCATGAAGCTTAGTAAAAAAAGATATGTCTATTTTAAATTCGTTGCAACAATGCTTTAATATTCCAAGTGATTCTTTTTCTGACGAATAATATGCTCCTGATTTTGTTGAATTATTAGAATTGGGAACATTAGAAATATTCATTATTTTATTTTATATTTTAATACAAGTAAATATTATATATATTGGAAATTTAAAAAAATATTTATATGCTTCATTAATTGTTATTTTTTATTGAATTAAAATGATCAACAAAATTTTCTTTTAAGGTTATATTAATTTATATATAACTTTTTGTTCTAATTAATGATCATTTATACTATCATAATTAAAATCCTTTTGCTTTCAAAATATATAAATACTAGTTCTTTTTTTGTTTTTAGTTTTGTATAATAATCTTTTAACTTTAAATTCTGAAATTGTATATGGAACAAATGCATTTTCGACATATTTTTTTTTTTTTTTTTTTTTTTTTTAAATTTTATTAAAAAGATCAACACACAAAATTACTAACCTTATCAAAAAAAAAAATATTTGTAAATAATTAACAATAATTGTAACAAATGTGTAATTATAATAATAAAAAAGAGGTTTAAAATGTTCACATAAACTTATACCAAATATTTAAAATTTGAAGTACCGATATTTTATAAAATTAAATAGTCACAAAATACAATTTCACTAAAGTTCTAAAAGGAAGAAAAATTTCTTAAATAAAACCCTTTTCTTATTATATGAAGCATATTTGGCTGTATTTTTTTTTTTCTTTTTTTTAATATACATATTTTTTAAAAAAATTAAATGATAAATATCGTTAATAATAGAAGATATAGAAAGATGTTTTATTATCATAATAATAAAGAATAATAAAATATTATTTAAAAGTGAAAATGAGGAAATGTGAAATATAAACATATGAAAAAAATTTTAATACTAAGTTAAAATATCTTTATATGTTAAAATGATTACGCATTTAATGAATTAAAAATCGTGCGAAAAATAATAAAAAAAAAAAAATATTAAGTATATTTTATATCTCATAATTTTATATACCATTATTAATATATCGATATTTAATAAAAAAGCTATTTATAAACTTTTATATCTAATATGGTTAAAATAAGGTATTGGAGTATTAATGTTTATATAAGCATGTTATTTATGTATAGAGTAATATGAAGATGATAATTTTTAAGGAAAAAATTAAATAATTCAAAAAAGAAATAATTAAATGAATATTTGAAAGTTAAAATAAATTTATATAATCACTTTAAAGTTATTGAAAATACAAAAAATATATGTTGTCATATAGAAGGATCAAAAATATATACTTAAATAAATTTAATTAAGTGTAACATTTGTGATTCATTAAAACTTATCTATTTTTCCTTTTTCCTTTTTAAAAAAAAATATATATATTATCAATACGTTTAAAATAAATATTTGTTTAAATATATATGTTAATCATCTATAAATGCTATATAAATAATATAAAACATAATATATTCTTCATTATAATAGTTAAAATATTCTTTTAATTATAAAAATAGAACAGAAGCAAACAATATAAATATATATATTATGCTTTTCTAAACAATGTCGCAAATTTAATTATAATAATAATAATAAAACTTTTAAAGTAAACTTATTTTGTTGTTTTTAAATGATTGTTTTGTAAAACTCCTTTAAATATTCAAATTACTTAAAAATTAATAAAATAATTATAATAATTCACTCATATATAAGAATAATAAGTAAAAGAAATGTCTTAAAGCAACATGTAAATATATTAAAAAAAGGATAATTCTTTTTACATTTATTCATAAAACCAATTTTAAGTTTTCTTATTTTTTGTAGTTCTATTATATATATATATAAATATATATATATATATATTTTTTATTTTACATAGAGTGTTAATGAAAATAAAGCAAAAAAACATATATGTATATATATATTAAGGAAAAAAAAAAAAAAAGGGAAAGTTCATTTATGCACCTTTCTTCTTAGATACACCTACAGTTCTTCCTCTTCTTCCTGTAGTTTTGGTGTGTTGACCACGAACTCTCAATCCCCAATGGTGACGTAAACCTCTGTGTAATCGAATTTTTTTCATTCTTTCTAAATCTTCACGTAAATAAGAATCTAATTGATTTGCTATAACATGTAAATTTTTTCCTTCCTTTAAATCTTTTCTTCTATTAAGGAACCAATCGGGAATTTTAAATTGTGTTGGAGCATTCATAATAGAAACAATCTATAAAAAAAAAAAAAAAATAAATAAATAGAATGAAATGTAATTGTTTTCTTTTTTTCTGTTAAACATTGCAATTTTTATTTAACTGTATTATTTAGACATCTATAAATTTTTCATGAATTATTATACAAAATGTACAAACAAAAATATTTTTATTAATTAAATATTAATAAAATTTTTTAAATTATATTTTTCATAATAATATATTTTTATGATAAAATATAAAAATATGGTATATAAATATATAATAACATGAAAAAATTAATAAATATTATATAGAAATATTGATGTTTGTTTAAAAAATTGTTCTACTATTTATATTTTTTCTTTTTTTTTTCTTTTTTTTTCTTCTTTATTTTCTTAAATTGCAATAATAAACTTTTTCCTTTTAAAACTTAATATTTCTTGTATTTTTAATTTAATGATTTTTTAAGAATATATTTTACTTATAAAAATAGATCATTAAAATACAATTTATATATATTTGTGAATACATTTATAATATATAAATTTATTTTATATACATATGTATATTTAAAAAATACATAATTTTTTTCATTTTTTTTTGACTAACATTGCTGATTTCTTCTTTTGTTAACTCTCCTGCTCTTTTAGTTGGGTTAACATTTGCTTGTTTGCATATTACAGTTGCCATTCTTTTTCCAATACCTTTAATAGCAGTTAATGCAATTATTACTTTTTCTTTACCGTCTACATTTGTATTTAAAATTCTTAAAATATGTTGAAATTCATTTTGATCAATTACTTGTAAGGACATTTTGTCAATAATATTGAAATGATAATATAAATAAAATTAAAAAAAATTGATTTTCCTTTTTTTTTTTTTTTATTAAAAAAAAATATTATTGTGCTATTTTAATTAAAAAAAAATAATTCTACAGTTTTTTACTTTACAAAATTTTGTTATTTTTAAATATTTATAATAAATTCATCAGTTTTTCTTTTTAATGTATTTTTATTATTTATTCAAATAGTTTTTTAATAATTTTTTTTTTTTTTTTTTTTTTTTTTTTTTTATCATTTACATAAAATGATATATTGAAATTTTGTATTATGATTGAATATCAGAAAATTTTTAAATAAAATACATACTTTTTGATAAAAAAAAAAAAGAAAAGAAAAGAAAATATATTTACATTAGAAAACAAAATTTATTAATAATGTTAATTCATTAAAATACCTTTTTTTATCATATTTTAGTAATTTATAGAAAATTAAGTATAAAGTATTATTAAATTGAAAATATATATTTAAGTGCATTAAGGGGATATTCTTATAAAAAAATAAAGTGTTTACAAGAGCCACTTATTAGGAACCAAACTCATTTTTTTTTTCTTTTTTTTTTTTTTTAATCTTATAAAAACCTTTATTTCTCTGATTTTCAAATATAATTTATATAATTAAATTTATTCTAATACTTTTTATGTATAAAAGTAAATATCTGAATTGTTTACAAAAGAACCAAATAAAATTTTTATAAGGAAAAAGATTTTTTTTTTTAATAAAAATTTCATTTCTTTTATTATTTAAAGATATATGTGGAAAAACATAAATATATATTGAAAAAAAAAAATAAAATTATTCATTATTCTCATGCATAATGCATAATTTTTAAAAATAAAATTGTAATACAACCATACTTGAATGTTTTCATATTCTATATAGAAAAATTTCTACTTTTTTTTAAATTATTTTCATTATTAAATATATTAATAATTAATGGTTTCAAAAGTTTTAAGATGTAATAATACTAATAAATTCTTTTAAAAACAAAATTACTTATTTAAATGTAATTTAATTAAAAGGTTTTGATAATTCTTAATGAGTTTCTTTTTAGCTTGTGTTAAAAGATTAATATGTGATCTATATACAAAAAAAAAAAAAAAAAAAAAAAAAAAATTTTTTTTTTAAAATTTCCTTAGAAAATTCTCATTAAATATTAATAAAAACATTTATATATATAAACATTAATTTTTTTTATCATTACTAATTTTTAGTAAAAAAAAAAATATCATGATGAAAGTCATAATTTCTTAAATTTTGTCATTATATTGAGTTAATAATTTATTCAAATGTTATCGTTAAGAATAAAAAGAAAGTATAAAAATTTAAAAAAAAAAAAAATTCATTTTTGCTACCAATTTGTTAATTTGAAATAATTACTAAGATAATTACTAAAAATATTTCATAATTTCAACAATATAAAAAAATTAATTAAAGAAGATATATATTTATATAGTATTCAGAATGCATTTTTGTAGAATAATGAAGAAAATAAAGAATTCAAAAATTTAGAAATTATATAATAGAAAATTCGCAGGAAAGAAGTATAAGAAAATAGAAAATTATTAATTTTTTTTTTTTTTTTTTTTTTTTTTTTTTGATGAAAACTTATGTAAAATAATGAATAAATATGAAATTAATAATGAATTGAAAATGGATTTTTCATCAATTAAAAATAAAAAGATCAATATAAATTCAATTTTATTAAATAATGAAAGAAAATATAAAAATGAGTTAAATACAAACGATTTAAAAGAATTTAACATTCATTATGAAGACAGTAACAATATTTCTGATAAAAAAAATGAGGAAAATGAAGAAAAAAAAAAGGACATGATTGATATTGTTAATAACGAATTTCAAAATTTTCAAATTAAAGGGAATAGTATAACAAAAGAACATTCACTAAATAATAATTTAAAAAATTATTGTATGAATTATAACAAAATAAAAGAAAATATGTTTGTTAATTCACATGAATCAAACAATAATTTAAATTCAGTTGTTAATATTATTACAAATTTTACAAAGAAAAAAGAAAATGAAGATAAATTAAATGAAGAAATGGAAATATATGTTAATGAAAAAAGTGAAAAACAAACTATTGAAGAACTTAAAAGTAATTCTGAAAAAAATAAAACATATTTAAATGAAAATAAATTAAGAGATGAAATTGAAAGTCGTACTCATAATGAATCTAAGGAGAAAAATATTTTGAGTTCTCATAAAAGTATCAAAAAAAATAATTCTTCCATAAGTTTTCTGAAAGAAACATTAAATGAAAATAATAAAAGAGATTATAAAAAAATACAAAATTTCAATACTGAAATAAGTAATTTAGAAAAAAAAAAAAAAAAAAAAAAAATAATTCATATAAATGAAAAAACTAATTATGAAAGTTTAAGATCAAATGGAAACAAAACTTTTAATTCAAATGAAGAAAATTTTGAAAATAAAAATAATTATATTATTCAAAGTGATAAAATTAAAAGTGAAGAATTTTATAATACATTACAAAAAGAAAGAAAAACGAAAGATTTCCTTGATCAAAAGAAAACTAATTTTTATTCTAAAGAAGAAGATAATTTATATGATAAAAATAGTGTTTCGAATAATAATTGCAAAAGAATTTGTAAAATTCCTTTATCTTCTATTAAATTCAAACAAGTAAATAAAAGTTTATTCTCATCTAATAAATATGAAGAATTAAAAAAAAATTTGAATATTTCGGAAGATCCTAAGAATATTATATACGAAATATGTGAAAATGATCAAAATGAAAGCAATTGCAAAAAAAATAAAAATTTGAAAAGTATAGATAAAACTTTCTATAATGAAAAGAATCATAATAGCTGTGATTTGTTTAAATATGAACAAAATAACAAGCAGAGAAATCAAAGTAATGATGATTTAAATAATTCTAAAAAACAAGATAAAAAAGATATTAATAATTTAATAAATATTAATGAAAATGATATAATAAATACTGAAGATAATGTTAATGCTAAAAAAAATGAAGCTTTAGTAAATATTTTACTTCATAAAAATATTAACAGTAATAATTTAAATAATTTAGAGAAAAATAAATATATTAAAAAAACAAATTATAATAGTATTTTAAAAAATAATTTAAATTGTGTATTTAACAAAATAGAAAGTTGTTCAAATAATAAGGAAGGTTATGAAATTATATCTAATGGTATTAAAATAATATTAAATAATAATTTAAAATGTTATATAAAACAAACCAGTTGCGGCAATAATAATAAAAGTGAAAATATATATAGAGATGAAAATTTAAATAATAATAGCGATCTTAATATTGACGTTAATGATAACAATAATGATATGAAAAATAATGAAAATATAAGCAGTTACAAGAAAAGTACAAATAAAAGTATTAATAATGTTAATACTTACAAAAAAACAGTTAAAGGATTAATAAATAAACATAATAATAAGCATGAAATAGATGATAATGATACAAATATGGAAAATGGTAAGCCTATATTTGAAAAAAAGTGTAATAATGAAAATAAAAATGTTAATACTGTAAAAGAAAACAAAAATGAAGATATAAATCTTGATGGATATTTTATGAAATTTCAAGATGAAATAAAAAAGAAGCCATTATTTTTAAAAAAAAATAATATATCTTTTCAAAAAGATAATAAAAACACAAATAAAATGAAATTTTTAAAAGATAATACATTTAAAAATATTTCTTTTAATAGAAAGTTTAAAATAGAAGATGTAAATAATATAAAATTAAATTATGATAATTTAAAGAATATACAAAAAATTGAAGATGAAAAAATTAAAATTTTGTATAATAAGTTTTATAGATGTTTATTTTGTCTAGATAAAAATATTGAAAATATATGTTTAAAAAAGTATGACATTTGTAATTATTGTAAATTTTGTAAAAAATTCTTAAAATTATTAGTTACACATGGAGCAAAATATAAAGGAATATTGATTAATATTAATTTTATTCATTCAGATATTCAAAATCTTTTATTTACATATAAATGTGATAAACAACATTTATTTAATATTTCACTTTTTCATATCATACATAATTTATGGTGTCCTCACGATTTTTGTTTATTTCAATGTAGAGATAATTATTTAAAAAATTATTCATCTGAATTTTTTCGCTTAAAAGAATTAGATACTATGGAAAAACAAAAAAAATTATTTTTGCAGGCAAAAATATTTTGTTTAATTAATTCATATGGTAATATTTTCGCAAAAAAAAAAAATACTTTTATAAATTATTGAATTATTTTATTTTTTATCACCTTTTTTTTTTTTTTAGCTATGCCATCAAACAAAAAAAATATAAATCCTGAATATTCTAATGATAGTAATAAATATTTTAAAATAGGCATCTTAAAAAAAATATATATGGAAAATATTAGAATTTAAAAATATATATTTATGTATACTAATAAAAAATATTTTTAATTTTATATTTTTTAGTTGAAAGAATTATAAAAAATGCAAATGATCCATGGGAAGTTCTTCAAGTATATAAATTTTTTTTTTTTAATATATTTTTTTTTTTTTTTATTGTATTTTTTTTTTTTTTATATACTTTAAATATAATATTATGATGAACACAAATGGCAATATTTTTTTTTTTTTTTTTTTTTTTTTTATAGATTAACAAATTTACACAAATAGAATCATATGATAAAACACAATTAAGGAGAGAAGCAAGAAAAAATTATCACATGTTGGCATTAAAAGTTCACCCAGATAAAAATAAAAGTCATAATGTATGTTTAAATAATTAAAAAAAAAAAATAAATAAAATAATAAATTATCAAGTTTAAAATGATAACAAAAAAATTAATGTAAATTTATTATTGTAAACTTTTTTCAACATACATTTAATTCCAACTTAAATTACTAATATATATTTATTTTTTTTTTTTTTTTTTCAGGCTTCATTGGCAATGAATATTTTAACAAATTCAATGAAAACAATAATGTCTATATAAAAAATTACAGCTTTTAATTTATAATATAGATTTAATTTTTATTTGAAGAATATATGTTTTTTTTTTTTTTTTTTTTTTTTTTCTTTGCATTGTATTATTGTATTTTTTTTCTTTTCTTCAATTTTGTAAACATGTTTTTAAAATTTACATAATTATTTTATAAATATTTAGGCCCTCAAACCAATAATTCTATTTTTGTTAATATTTACATTTATTCATAATTTTCTACATTAATTTAATTTTTTTTTTTTTTTTTTTTTTAATTTTATTTTAGTGAGTATTTTTCTGAGTTTTTATTTTGATTTTGTTAGTATTTTGTTTTTTTTTTTGTATGTTCATCTCTATTTTTGTAAGTATTTTTTTGATGTGTTTCGTTTCATTTTGTATTTTTTTTATAAAAAATTTGAATACATATATTTAATTTTATATAAAGTTTTCATAATTATATATTTTTTTATATATAAATTATATTATTTTTTTTTTTTTTTACTTTGTTTTATTTTTTTAAATATATATATATATATTACTATTTAAAATTTTTTAATTATATGTTATTTTACATTGCCTTTATAGATGAAAAAAATATTTTATGTTTATTTTGTTTTGTTTAAATTTTAATTATTTATTTTTATATATATATATATATATAAATTTACTTTAATTTTATATAAAAAAATTATGTTAAAAAATTATATTTTTTTGTTTAAACAAATTCATAAAAATTAATATTATTTTAAAAAAGTAGAAATGATTAATTTTACTTCACCACATACAAACGATCCAATTAAAAAACTTCAAAATTTGTTAAATAATTGTTTACATTCAATAATAGTATTTTCATAAAAAAAAAAAAAAAAAAAAAAAAAAAAAAAAAAAAACATATAAAAATAATTAATATACAAATACATTTATTTAAAAAAATAATTATTTTTAATTTAAGGATGTATTTAGTAACTTATCTTACAAAGGAGAATATAAAGAATTAGAAATTGAACCTGAAGAATCAAGCGAATATTCATACTTTATAAATTTGTTAAAAGAAAGAGAAAACAAAAATAAAGAAGAAATAAAAGATGAAAAAGAAACAAATAATGAAAAAGAAACAAATGATGAAAAACAAACAAATGATGAAAAACAAACAAATGATGAATTAGAACCTCTAAATAAAGATGAAGAAAAAAATTATTTCATTAAACCAAAATTTGAAAAATCGTTAAAAGAAGAAATTTTAGATAGAGTGGAAAGAATGAATTTAATTTTAAAAACAATAGATGAGTGTATTGATGAATTGCCAGATTCTTTAATAATAGAAGTAATTTAAGAAAAAAAAAAATTTTAATATTAAAAAGAACAAAATAAAATATATATATATATATATATATCATGAGTATATTTATTATGATGATATTTATTTTTTCATTTTTTTTTTTTTTTTTATAAAGGAAGAAAAATGTAAGGAAATAAAAATGCTACAAAAAAAAAAAGACGCTGCAAAGGATGAATTAAAAAATTTGTATAATGAATATGATTATATCTATAATTACGTTACATATTATTTAAGAGATTTGATTACAAATATAAAATAAAATATTTCAATAATCTACTTTGATGTTGTAATTATTTTTAGGAACTTTAAATTATTGTTATTATATATTTTTTTATTCATCATTTTTTTCTTATATTGTCAATATTTTTTTATTATAGGAGTTATTTGTACTTTTTTGTGAATATTATATATTTTTTTTAATTACCATAATAATAATAAAAATATTATGTTTTTCTTCATAACTCTACATGAATTTTTTTTCTATATAAAAATAAATACATAAAAAGTTTTATATATAAATGTTTTACCCCGTTTAAATTTTTAAAAAACCATGAAAACTGTAATTTTTCATAAATTTTTTTTAAGTATTATTAAAAAGAAATAACTAAGAATGTTTAGAAATGATAATAGCATATACATATGTTAAACAAGAAAATAATTTTTTTAATAAATATTAATATAAAGGAAAAAAAAAAAAAGGAACTAATTTTTATAAGCTTTCATGTTAATGACTTTATTTTATTATTATGTATATTTATGTAAAGATATATATATTAATATTTTTTTTAATAAATATTAAAAGCTTTATTTTTGTCGTTTTATAATTTTTTAATTTATTTAAATTATTGAAGAAAAAAAATTAAAAGCGAAAAAAAAAAAAAAAAATAAAATAATACAAATTAAAAGAAAATATATTAAATGTTACATAAAAAAATACAATAAAAAAATAAAATAATAAGCGAGTTAGTAGATTTTAAATTTTTTAATAAAAATATGTTCATATTGCACTTCTTGAACATTTCTACATTTATAAACGTTATATTTCATATATTAAGTAAAAAATAAAAATTTAATAAAATATTTTAAATACAAATAAAATAAAATTTTAGTGAAATGGAAAGATATTTTTTATGTTTATATATATATAAAAAAAAAAAATGTGAAAATTGAGTAAATATAAAAAAAAGAAATTTTCTTTTACATTCATTTTTTTTTTTTTTTTTTTTTTTTTTTCATACAATCAAAAATAAAGTTACAAATCAGAAAAAATGAGTAAAAATAAAATTATTAAAGAACAATTTTTACCACATAAATTTATTAATGATACAAAAGAGCAAGAAACATTACGCATAAATGAATTAGATAAATTAGATAAGGAACTATTAAAAAATGAGTATACGAGTAAATTAGAAAAAGAACTTATTTTAAAAAATGTAAACTTTAAAAAAGATTTGAATATGTTAAAATTAAACTTTGGGGGTAATATGATAAAAAATAAGCCAATATTAACAAAAAATAATATTTCTTACTTTTGTAGTGATAGTTCTATCTTATTAATAGACTTTAATACAAAAAAGAAAAGTAGAATTGTAACATCGTTTTTTATAGATAAAATGTTTTATTTTTATGATAAGAAATGTAATGAAGAATATTTAATTATAAAAAGCTTTAATAATTATATATATTTATATCATATTAGTAATAAAAAATTTAATTTCATTAAAAGATTTTTTATAAAAAATCTTTTTTATATAAACAGTTTTGGCAAAAATGGAGAATTATGTTTTGCAACATGGGAGTTATGCGAAAAAAAAATGTATGTAAATTTTTTCTTATTACGATTTATTTTTAATTATGAAACAAATTTTTATGACTTTAATGAAAAATCAAATAAAAATAAAAAAAAAAACATTTCTAGCAATCATATAACATACACATTTTCTTCTGATTCTGAATGTGATTTTGATTTGAAATATTTTCCTAACGAATTAACAGTAGATAATTCAGAATATGAAGGAGAAGAACAAAAACAAAATCAGACAAAAAAAAAAAAAAATATAACAAAAAATGAAAATATATATATTACAGCTAAATTAAAAATAAAGCCAATATTAAAAATAAAATATATTTATTTTTCTATGATAGATCTAAATACAAATTTAAATAAATTGGTTTTAGCTAATAATAATATAATATTAATATATGATATAATAAAAAAATGTTATAATATTATTTATTTTAAAAATTATATATCATCTATAAAAATAAGTGATGAAAATTTTTTGTGCATTGGTTTTATAAATGGATATATATATATATTATTATTTGATGAATTAAAATTAGATAAAGGAAATGACAATATAAATAATTTAAAAGAAAATCAATCTTATCAAAATATTTATGATCAAATTAAAACATTTCATTTTATTAGTAATTCAGATTCAATTGATAGTACATTTCCGTATATAGAAAGTTATGAAGTTGATTATATAAATGATAAATTAAATAATTCACAAATTGGAATTGAAGTAGAAAAAAAAAATGATATAAATTATCAAATGAATATGCTTAATATACCATATATTAATTTTCAATTTCATAAAAATCGAATTGTTAATATTCAAAAATTCCATATTATAAAATATAAATGGCATAGTCATTCAGTTTATAATTTAACAGTAGAAGGTAAGAAAATTATATCAAGTGGAGAAGAAGCTGTTATTTTATTTTATGATTTACAAAAAGGATCATATGAATTTATTTCTCACTTAGGATTACCATGTTACTATATTTATTTAAATAAGAGAAAAAATATAATTATATGTAATGCATTAAATAATTCTATTTTTTTTATTAATTACAATCATCGTCTTTTTTTTTATAAATATAATGGTATAAATATGCCATTATCTCTAAAGAATTTATTTTACAATTATTCTAATGTCCATTTAAATATTAAAAATAGTATAGATATATTTTTAGATCAAATTAATGACAAATATGATTATACTAATGAAATGGAGAATAACGATGGGAATCAAAGTAAAGGTATTGTTGTATATAATAATCAGAATGGTGTGAATGAAAATTCAAAAAATAATTTTTTTAATAACGATTTTTCTGAAAACTCTTTAATCAACTGTAGTAGTGAGAGTGATGAAAACGAAGATGATGATGAAAATGAAGAAAATGAAAATGAAGATGAAGATGAAAATGAAGAAAATGAAAACGAAGATGAAGATGAAGAAAAAAATGAAGATGAAAAAAATGAAAATGAGAATGAGAATGATATTAAGAATTTAAGGGATAGTAGCAAAGAAGATGAAAATAATAATGAGGAAAAACAAAAATTGATAGAAAACAGAAAGAAAAGGAAAAATTTTCTTAGTTTTAAATCTATACAAAGAGAATTAGAAAAAAAAATATATAATAATATAAATATAGAAAATAATTTATACAAAAAATATCAAATTTCTTTTTATTGTGATTCTAATAATGGATTAATATTTTGTTTTTTAACTACTTTTGTTAATCTACAACTGTATAATATAGAAAAAGATAAGCATATAAAATTTTTATGTCCATTAAAAATGGTTTATAAAAGTAGAACGGATATAGAAAAAGTAAATGATATGGAATTAGTTTTATTTTCTTATAATCATAATAGAAATTTATTAATGACAATTGAAAAAAGAAATTATTTAATGGAAGAATTTATACATGAAAATAAATGTACTACTTTATTATATCCAATATACAATGTGAAAATATGGTATCTCAAAAATAACTTAGAATATTACAATTTTTATAATCATACTATAACATCTAATAATTTAGATAATGAAGAACAACAAAATAATAAAGCAATTACAGAAGTAGAAAAATATAAAATGATTATAAGTCATCCTTTTTTAAGTATATTTATTTTGTTAGAACATAATGGAAACATATGTTTTTGGTGTTTAGAAAAAAGTGAAAAAATTTTTGAAAATTCTATTTATAAAGATTATGAAGTTGACTGTTTTGATGTAAATGATACTGATTTAACTTGTGAAGTGAAAGGTTGTAATATTAATAACCTATATACGGAAGAAAATGATGAAGATATTATTTTAAATGGTAATGAAAATGAAAATAATAAAACAATTACTATAATTAAAAATATAAATTATAATAATCATAGCATTTTAAATGGTGATATAAGCAAAGATGGAAGAATATTATGTATATGTCACAATAAATTTATTAGTATATGGGATACCATTACTATAAAAACACTAGCAATAATAAATCATCCATTATATACTTCCCTTGATGAATATATATTTAATTTATATAAAGGAGTTGAAGTATTACAGGCACATGGTAATATTTATTTATGTTTCTACTCGTTTGATACTCTTTTCATATATTCTCTTCATCAATTTCATTTAGTTTATGAAAAAAAGTTCAGAGGGATAATAGAATATATAAAATTTGATAAATATACGTATACGTTTTTAGCAATAGGTATAACAAAACGAGTTAAAAAAAATAAAAATCATTTAACTCAAAAAAATTATATTTATGAATTTACACAAAATTATTTAAAAAAAAAAAAATTATTTTATTCATCTAAAGATAAACCTATTATTGCATTAGATTTTGCTCCTCTTAATAGCCAAAAAAATATACCTTTATGTAAAGATCAGAAATCAACTGTACTAGTTGCATTAAATTCTAAATTTCAAATTAATACATTTTATTTTAATAACTTTCCAAATTTTATTCAATTAAAATAAAATAAATATATACTTTTATATTTATTATAAATTTTTTATTCTTTTTCTCATTTTTAAAAATATTTGTATATAATCTGTATATAATAATTTTTTTTTTTTTTTTAAATAATGTTTATTAATAATCATATGTTGCTTCATCATTTTTTATTTAAAATTTTTTTTATAATTTTATCAATTAAATACTTACAAAAATTATTTTTTTTTTTTTATAACAGGTGTAGAAAAATCTAAATTAATATATATATATATATAACCATATATCAATTTTGTTTTATATTTAATTATGATTTTTTTTTTTTTTTTTTGAAATAATAAATTTCATTAGATAATATCTTTTTTGACACTGTATTCTTTATAGTTATAATGTATCTCTTATTATAAAAAAGAAAAAAATAATAGTGTGTAACAAAAATTTTGTATATAAATAATCTTTATTTTTTATAAAAATATATTTGTAATATTTCTTTTTTTTTTTTATTTTTTCACATCATAATTTAATAAAAATATAAATATCTTTAAAGGAAATTTAAATTCAAATATTTACATTAAAATATTAACCTTTTACATAAAAAAATACCCAGTTGTATTAACATAAGAGTAAAAAAAAAAGAATAAAAAAAATAGTAGACTTTTTTTTATATATTTTTTATAATTACGGAAAATTTATACAATAAAATATAAACGAATGATTAAATTTAATTTTGTATTTTTTTGTGAAAAATTTTCAATACCATAATATGAATATTATAATAGAGTTTTTTTAATGATATTTTATTAAGGGAAGAAAAGAAAAATTTGATATATAAAAAAATATTGATAATTATTTAAAAAAAAAAAAGAAAAGAAACAAGTAAATATAATTACAAAATAATATGACAAAAAAAAAAAAAAAAAAAAAAAAAAAAAATATAAAAAAAAAAAAAAAAAAAAAAAAAAAAAAAAAATGAAATAAAATAAAATAAAATAATAAATATATATATATATACAATTATTTTACATGAATATATTTTAGTTTTTTTCTAAATCTTTTAAAATACAAGATATAACTATTTTTTTATTATCTGACCACAAGGGATCTAAATGAGACCATTTGTCATTAGTAATTATTTTTAAATTATTTTTGTAAATTTTATTCATATAATTTATTGATTTCTTTGTATCAACTATCGTATCTTCATTTCCATATATAAGAGTTATTGGGTAAAAACATTTATAAGAGTATTTTTCTATTATATCTGTAACTGGATAACTATTAAAAGATTTTATCCATTTATTTAAATTAGCTTTTGAAGTATCACCACTAGGAGTATGCAAAAAATATATTTTTTTATCCTTACTATCAATATTTTCATTATAATATTTTAATAATTTATGAGTAATTATATGAGCTGCATTGGATATTAAATATGCACTTATCTTATATGGTAATATGTTTTGAATAAATGTTTTCCCTTTTAAAAATGCATTCGAGCATTTAGATAAAAGTAATAATAACTTCATAGATTTAAGTAAATCATATTTACTTCTTAATATAATGGGTAATGACATTAAATAACATCTTTTAATGCTATTATTTACATAATCATTTAAACAAGAACTTATTAGAAGCTGTATACTACCTTGAGAAAAACCAACAAATATTATTTTATCCTTTTTTGTTTCGTTTTTTATGTATTTTATTATTGATGGTAGATCTTTAGTACTCATGTCCTCAAATGTCCAGTTATGTTTTTCTTCATTTGAGATTTCATCATCAATTACATTATTATTATCACTATTATCTTCATCTTCTTCATCTTCTTCATCTTTTTCTTCATCTTCTTCATCTTCTTCATCTTCTTCTTCTTCTTTTTTTTCATTTTCATGATTTTTCAAATATTTTGCACTGTAAGATGTTTTATTATAATATAATGAGTTATCAAAAGGAAATGTAGATGTAGAACTATTCAAATCATTTCTTATAAAATCGTATCTTATATTTGATTCATGAATATAGGTATTATTTGTTTGACATCTAAAAAAAGATTTATCTTCTTCTGTTTCCTCATTATTTTTATGAATATTATAATTTCTAAATCTTGGAAGGTAACTACATAATGAATTAAATTTAAAATAATTTTTACTATAATTATTTTTATTATAATGACTATCACTACTTACATTTTTTGAGTTACATTTTGTAAAATAACAGTACGAATTACTTTTTTTTAAATTATGAAATAATTTATTTTCATTATCACGATAATTATCATTATGCACTTCTTCATTATTTTCAATTGTAGACAATTTATGAATGCACTCTGAATTATTTCTTTTTATATTTTTTATAGAATTCTTAAAATGTTCTATTAACCCATTTTTAACTTTTTTTTTTTTAATTGGATCATAAATTTTATCATTAAGGATACTTTCATTATTATAAATAAAACTATAATTTTCATTATATGAATTATTATTATTTTCCTCATATTTTTCATTTTTTTTTTTTTTTTTTTTTCTTTTATTTTCCATTTCCTTATTCATATTTTTAGGAATGTAATTGCTTAGATTAAATCCTAAATCTTTTAAATCTTCACTACTATATTTTTTAAATAATTTTTTTAAGGCAATGTTTTTCCCTACATATTTTGTAAAACTGTTTCCTCTGTTGTTACATATCCAAACGTCATAATTATTTGCAAAAATTTGAAAAGCTAAAGAATTATATCCTTTACAAGTATAATTAATAGATGATTCAAATAATCCATGATTTAAACAAAAAACTTCTTTTTTTTTAATTTCGTCATGATTACATATACTTTTTTTTGCAGATACAATTCGATATATATTTAACCTATACCCATCTATTGTGTATACATAATGTTTTTCTGCTTTAATTTTTCCTTTTGTTAAATCATACATAAGTCTTTCCATAGAATCCCAATTTTTTTTTTGTTTTTCCTTTTCATTATTATTCTTTGAACATTTTGATCCCTTTTCATTTTGTTCAACTGGATTTATACGATATAAATTGTTTCCTGAAGTAAATACTTCTCTACAGTTAAACTTAAATTTTCCTAATCCTATTGCAATATTGTTTAGTGAATATTTTGACATAATTGTAGATGCATTTTTTTTTTTTCTTTTATAAATTATATTAGTCTTAAAAAAATAAACTTAATGAAATAGGAAGTTTTAAAAAAGTAAGATTCATGAAACGTTATTATTTATAGATAATATTCAACAAATAATCAAATGTGAAACTAGATTAAAGAAATTCTTGGTGAAATAAGTCTCAATATAATGTTTTAAAATGTTTTATAAATAATATATAAATTTTTTTTTTTTTTTTTAATAATTATTTTAAATAATCAAATTATAAAAATTAAAAGATTAAAAAGAAAAATATAATTAATTTTTATAACACAATATTTTTAAAGAACAAAATTTTTAATTAACATTTCAAATAGACAAAATAATTTTGTATGATGCAAAGTTGATGAATATTCATTCTAGGAGATAAAAGAAAAATAAAAAAAGATTAAAATATACTTAATTTATTTTTAAAATTAAAGTTAAAATAATTAAAATTAACACAAGCTTTTATTATTTTAAAAAAAAAAAAAAAAAAAAAAGTACTTAATGTATTCATTTATAGAACACATGCATATAGATATTTGTAAAAATTTTAAAACAAAAATTTATGTTACTAAAAATTTTTCTTTTATAGAACTCATTTAGAAACATTGCAAGAAAAAAAAAAAAAAAAAAACATTTTTAACATCAAAACTTTTTGAATTCCTTAAAAATAAAAAGAATTAAAAACTTTTATATATTTAAAATATTTTTAAAAATATATGTAGAGTAATAATATATAAAAAAAAAAAAAAAAAAAAAAAAAAAA